GCTAATTTCTTAAATTGTTGATGTGAATTATCTTGACCTATGAGTTTAACTAGATCATAGATAAATTACTTGATAATTTTTGTTAGTTAAAATGATGATCTAAATGAATTTTAATGACCTCCATATCAAGTTATGGAAAATGAAATGTCTCATCTTTAAAATTGCATTAAACTCATTAGTTATGAATACCAAGAGTTTTGACAAGTTTCAAAACTTTCCCTCAAGTTTTGAAATTTGTAAATTCTCACTAATGTAACTTTAATTCCAAACCCTAGAGTTTTAAAAGTTAAAATTCAACCCTTATACTTTATAATATTATAAGTTTAATAATATATATATATATATATATATATATATATATATATATATATATATATAGGGTGAGGTTCAATAGAGAACCATAATTAACCAAGGAACCAAGGAACCAATCTTTTTTTCAACTTTTAGAACTTATTTTTTATCAAAAAAAAAAAAACTAAAAATACAGAAATTCATAACTTTTTATCCTTTTTCCAATGATATCAAATTCAAATTTTTTTTTACGTCAAATTCACAATGTGAATCTTTAAAAATTCACAATGTGAATCCGGATTCACACGGTGAATCCGAAAAATATTTTTCACATTCACAATGTTAATATATGAATTTAGATATTTTTAGATTTTTTTTCGATAAAGAATAAGCTCTAGAAATTGACATATTTGGTTCTTTGAAGAACCAATAATTATGGTTCTCTATTGAACTTTTCCCTATATATATATATATATATATATATATATATATATATATATATATATAATATATATATATATATATATATATATAGGAGTAGGATCGAATGAGAACACCTAAAAGATTGAGAACGCGAGAACAGATCTGGACCATCTAATTTTTAAGATGTGTGGCTATAATTAATTATTATTTTTCTAATTATTAATACATTCAAAATTTAAATTTCAAATTAAAGAAAATTATAAAGAGTATTCAGGTAAATAAACATTACCCTAATTTTGTAAACTCCTATAATTACTCTCTGCCTCTCTATTCCGTTGACCTAATTTCATACAACATACAATCGACACCTTCATCACACATCCGAATCACACAGCCGATCCCAACTACTTCCGTTTTCCTTTTCCCTTGCTCGACAGATGAACCATCCACATCAAACGATGATGCTTCCTGATTTCACCCCAAATGTCGATTTTTTGTTGTTTGCTCCTTCCCCCATTTGTGCGCTGTTGATGACAACGATTAAGCCACAAGGGTCGCCGGAGAATCGATGCCCTTCCTTCCCCTCTTCCCTCTGTCTCTTCAACCTCTTCGAACCCCGGAGACGATTGCAATTGGACACAACATCTTGAATATCGGACAGCACACCTGCGATGCGAGCCTTTCTTCCCTTCCTATCGCCCTATTGCTGCCGTCGCTGGTGAGCCTTCACACTCTCTGCCCCTTTGACTTCCACCATCGCCAATTCCATCGAAGGCCAAGAGACCGCCTCGATTTCTCGTAAGCCCAGGACTTGCAATCCCGATTCAGGGCTTGAAGAATGACTGCAAAAATCACGATTGGTAATTGCAATCATGAAGGGAGGTGCGTGATTGGCGCCTCAACTACCGTGACAACCCACGACAATCATGGGTTTTGCGATCGAAATCCATAGAGATCTCAGGTCACTAGACGATGCCATTAGATCACACGAAGGTATATTTGTCTCTGACTACTCAAAACCTAAACCGATTGCACATACAATCCACTTGCTTGGAATGGATTCCTCCTTCGCACCTTTTTCACTGATTCCCGATGTTCCGATTCGATTTTATTTTGATTTAACCTCTATAGAACAATAATTGTGTTGTAACTATTTCTGATTTTTTTTTGTTTGTCTCCAAAAATCGAATTCTAGAAAAAGGCCCAGATGATTAGGCTTTTGTTTTGAGTAATATTCTTGAAGAACCGAATGAAGAGAAGTCTACCACATATCTCATGCTTCTATGAAACAAATGGTGATGGTGATGAACAGAGTTTGGCTATGTCTTTGTTTTCCATATTTCATGCAGGTCCAACAAAAGAGCAAGAACATGTGTATTCAAATGTATTCATAAGATTAGATGTATATTAATTACAGATTGAAGTGTATTCATTAGTGATTAAATGTGTATTCAAATGTATTCATAAGATTAGATGTATATTCATTACTGACTGAAGTGTATTCATTAGTGATTAAATGTGTATTCAATGTTTTCTATTCAAAAGCAATCCATATTTACCTGTGTTCATTCATTTGTGTTTTATTCATTTATGAATATAACTTAATCCATCTATTCATTCAAGATTATTACCGGGTTCATATATGATTACAAATATATTTTATTCATGTATGATTACAAATATTCGGATAAAATGATTAACGCGTCAGTATTTTTGATGTTGTTGGTAAAAATAAACGTTTTTTTTTAAATTATGGTAAAAACGTATTTTAAAATCATTTTATTGATTTTGTTAATTAAAAATAGATTATACAAGTTCCTAATATTTGGGTAAAAAAATCGATTAATCAGATTAAATCCCATGATTTTAGGAATTAATTAATTATCCATAATTAATTATAGTGTAAAATTCTTTTTATGCCCTTATAGAATGATTGCTTCACAATTGTTCTCGCGTTCTCAACCTTTTTGGTGTTCTCATTTGATCATTTCCCTATATATATATATATATATATATATATATATATATATATATATATATATATATAAGACAAGTCAGTCTTACCGTTAGTATGCCTCACTCACGAAGCCGGTCTATAAGGGGGGGGGGATAAGGTTATTGCCTATAAAATGGTGGTTTAATGGGTGTCCACTCTTACCCACCGCTTCCTTGACTGGTGGAGGGTCGTTAGCCGAACGAGTAGGATAAGACATTAAATCTCGTTAAAAGTATAATGATAAATATAAAGTAACTAAATTTTTATTAAATTCCCAATCTTAGTTACTTTAGGAAAATGTGAAAATGGTGCTAATTCATGAAATTACACTTTGCACCTTGTTAAGTCATTAGTAGAGCGTGTGTGGTTAACCGACACACTAATCTGGGACTGACAATGTGTGGCAAAGAGTAGCTTGATGTTAATCATAGATCAATGGAGCGTGTGTGGTTAACCGGCACATTGATTATGTGATTTGTAACATTGAGTATACCAAGCTAATTTGCATGGTTATTCGCACCTTGTTTGTGATCCTCGGCATCCCAGTCACAAACTTGAAGGGCGCAATCGAGATTTAAACATGCCGTTGAAAAGTTCAATGAATCTCAAAGGATCTAGGAATTTCAATCCAATTAAAACTTAATAATCTATTTCGTTTTTCATAGTGGAAATTAGTAAATCGTCATTTACCTACCTTCAAATATTTTACAATTGGATTACGACATCCCTTTTCGCAATTGTAGAATATTGTGTTGGGTCTTAGCCTTAATATTTTATTTGGGTGTAATTTATTATATGATTAATAAATTAATTAGAAATTGTTTAGATTTAATTTATAATTAATTAGAAATTAATTTTGTATTAATTAAAATTAAATAAAGGTGTAAGGGTTGAATTGTAATTGTTTATTTATTGAAAAGAAGATAATTCTAGAACCTTCCTTATGTTGGACGATTTTCATAAGGCTAAGGAAGGGTTATGGAAGCCTCCTCGTAACTAATAAGGATAACTGCTTTGAATAGATTAAATCTTAATATTTAATTATTCAAATTAGGCTTTATCATTGAGATCCATCAACTATAAACAAGGACACTTAGCAAGTCATTTTCGAACCCTAACATTCACAAGGTAGGAATTCGACTTTGCTTCTCTTTTTCCTCTCTCCTATTTTCGTCCCTAATGTTCTAGGGTATTGGATGTGAGCCATTTGAGACATCCACATTATTGGTGCTTGCTTTCCAAGAAAGAATTAAAGATCCAAGGTTTGCTATATTCGATTATAGCAAAAATGTATGCTTTCTAATCCCTTTTATTTCCGCAAAAGGTAGACTAGATTGTATTTCATAGTATGTTGCTATAATGAGAAAATATCATAGATCTCTAGGTTACATGTACCCATAAATTGTTTTATGATTTCCGCTTATTAGATCTAGTATTTTATAACCTAGAAAACCTGTCAGAGTTGATGTTGACTATTTATTTTCTTTATTAAAAGAACTTAATTATTGTTTTAGAAGAAGGATCCACAGTTCAATGGGTTTTCAAAAAAATTGTGAATATTTTTTTTTCTGATCTTGCGGTCTAAGATGTATATTTCTTACAAACATAAACAAAGTTACTTTTAGCCAAGATAGATAGTTAGGTTCTATGTTCAAATCCCTACCAAAGTTTTTTGTTTTTTTACAAAAAAATATTTTTGCTTGTTTAACATAAAACAAGGGTCTTGTAGGGATAGAACTTACGACATTTTTCATATGGACAATGCATGTTTACTAGGTGTGCTAGCATTACTTTGAAAAAATGTCATAATATCTAAAACCATGTTCTCGAGTCCTTTTAAGGATGGAAAGAAGAGGAAAATTATGATCTTGAGTTTTTTTTTTAAGTAAATGAAAGAAAAGTAAAAAAAGTTTTCTCCTTAAAATCTATCGTCCAAAAAAATGAAATAATCGGGAAGAAAAGAAAATAAAAAGCTTGTTTTTCTTTTTATTTCATTCATTTTTCTTCATTTTACTTTCCTTTCCTCAATCTTAAACTCAAGGAAATGGTGTAAAGTAATAAATTTCATGAGGTGACACGAGACAAATAATTTTGAACACTCGATTGGGTTTTTTAGTGAGTTTAAGTGGTTATTTTATGACATTTTAAAAAATTAGGTCATAAGATTTAAGATGATATAGAAGAATGAAGACCCAGTATGGTATGTTAGTGATACCAAGCCCAATCCAATAGGCCCAATATGTTTCACATGAAAATCAACGGCCCAATTCTTTCTCTCTTCAGCGCTTCTTTTGGGGAAGAACCGAGGAACACACGAAAGCAGTAGATGCTACGATGCGGGAATCCATGAAGTGGCAGCTAGCTCGCTTGTGACACGATCAAAATTTTGAAAATATCTTGCTATCTAAAGAATCCAAGAGGGTATAGACTGCTCGAAGAACTCGGCATAGAACAATCAACGAGTTTATCGCATTTGAAAATCGACATGGTAAACTAACCCCTAATCACCTGTACTTTACGTTTAATTCAGAGAAGATGAAAGGAACTCAAAAAAGAAATCAGAACGAAGCTACGTTCTTGAACACGTATTTTTTCATTTTATTTTTTTCAAATTTATCTTCTACGCGTAGGATTTGTTCAGGAAGGTAATAACACAACCTGGGAAACCAGAAGATTTTGCTCTTCAAACAGTTCAAGAAGCCATCAAACCTCAGGTTTGCTTCTTAACCTCTCTTGTGTGTATATATGCTTTTCCGATTTTCCCCAATGTGATTTTGAAAATGGTATTCAAGTTATCGAAGGGCATGTATTCTTTAATTGATTTCTCTCAATCTTATAAATTGTCCGAGTAGAAGCCCATATTCAGACACTGCATAGATTTTCCCTTGTGAACTACCCCATAAACAATTCACTTTAACCTCTTTTAGTTCTTAAATTGAGAACTATTAAATCTTTAATCCATGACTATACACTTAAGCCATGTCTTCATGAAATTAATCATGCATTCATCATTATTCTATCATAGTTCAATGATTTCTAAGCAATAATCCAATGTATCTCAAATTAACATAGCATCCTCAAATTGACACAAACCCTAACTTGACATGTCATCCCATTTCATATTGTATAGAGGTGAAATCTTCCTTTAAATGTTGTTACCCTTACTAATAAACAACATTTACATCATAATAACAAACACACATCAAGAATCATCTTTACGAATCAAATTTCATGAACCCTAATGAAATAGAGATTATAGCTTCCGATCCTTACAATAATCTAACCAAATCTTGTTAGATTTGGAAGAAACTCGATCTCAAGCCTTTGATATCACCCAAAATTGCCCTTGAACTCACCCAAAATTGTTATATTTGATGTAGAGGCAAACAAAACTAGTCCAGGATGAGAACCAATTGTTGGAAAACATTCTAAGAACACTACTTCAAGAGCTCGTGGTATGTTAATCCTTACATGCTTTCTTAATGTTCATATTTCACATGGGTTGACTAGTCAACATGTTATATGCCTCAACATCATGTAATTGTTGTTTGACCTAGTCAGCTGCAGTTCAATCAGGGGAAAATACTATGCATTATGGGGCATCAATTGATGATGGTGATATCACACAGGGGCAAGTACCTCGGCTTCTTGGTGAGTATATTTTTATATATATTTTACTCTCATGATTTATTAGTCAATGTTCTTGCACTTATATATTTCCATTTCTTGAAATCTTTTCAGACATTGTGCTATATCTTTGTGAAAATGAACACATTGAAGGGGGAATGATATTCCAGCTTTTGGAAGATTTGACAGAAATGTCAACAATGAGAAACTGTGAAGATGTCTTTGGTTATATAGAAAGTAAGCAAGACATCTTGGGTAAGGTGTGTAAATTCTCTACTTTTACAGGGTCTTTTAAGTAATTTTTGTATCTACTCTTGTGTTCACTTCCATACATTCATACAGCCAGAACTTTTTGCAAGGGGAAAGCTTGTAATGTTAAGAACTTGCAATCAACTTCTTCGCCGTCTTTCAAAGGTAATTTTAATTAAGGGAAAATTTCAAGTTGCTTTTTTAATTAATGACATTTTTGCCCTCTCAACTTTTCAGTCAAACGATGTGGTGTTTTGTGGACGTATCATTATGTTTCTTGCACATTTTTTTCCATTGTCTGAACGTTCAGGTTATTATTATTATTTTTATCTATTTTTATTTGTGTAGTACTCTACTTCTTTCTCTGACATTATTATTTCTTTTGCATGTACAGCTGTCAATATTAAGGGAGTTTTCAATGTTTCAAATGAGACAAAGTATGAGAAGCAAGCACCTGATGGTAAAAATCAACTCTTTTTTTTTTTGTTGTAAACTAATATATCCCATATATATTTTATAAAATAATTTCTTGATTCTAGATTTCAAATTAACAATTTCTATTTGTGATCAAATGCATGCCTAAAAAACTTATATGGCTTTCAGGAATTTCTATAGACTTCAACTTCTACAAAACCTTTTGGAGTTTGCAGGTCAGTTTAATGATGCCTTTTTTCAATTAATTTTTAGATACAGTTTTTTTCTTATTTAAAATATCGAATCAGTATAATTTTAAAGATTCAGTGAACTGTATTTTTACTGAATCATTACTTTCTGTTGATTGCATCATATTGTTTTACTGATTAAATACTTGGTAGTTAGTAATATTTTTCTGAATGAAAAATTATGGTTGAAAAAAAGTAATCATTAAATATCTAAACATTCAAATAACTTGTGTTTGATTGAATCATTATGTTCGTATGACTGTATCCTACAATTTTACTGATAAATTTTTTAATGTTGACTAGTATTGATATATAGTCAATCAGATAGTTGACAACATGGATGATTTATCATTTCTTTAAATTCAATTTCAAGGTTTAAATTTCTACAAATTGTTATTTATAATAAACCTTTTTTTTTTTTTTTTGTTTCAGGAGTATTTTAGCAACCCTGCTTCCATTACTCCTGCCACCCCCAAGTGGCAGAAGTTCTCTTCCTGTTTGAAGGTATTTTTTTCCCCATAATTACCCTTTTCGTATTATTATTTTTTTCTTTTTCTAATTTTCCTCTTTTTTAAAATGGGATTTTCCAGGTTGTTTTAAATACATTTGAAGCTCAGCCTTTAAGTGAAGAAGAGAGTAGTACAAACAATCTTGAAGATGAAGCTGCAACATTTAGCATAAAATATCTTACAAGCAGTAACTTAATGGGTCTAGAGGTGGGACCCTCTATTTTATTATTATTATTTTTTATTCTAAAAATACTTCAATCTCATCACCCTAACTTTTTATTTATTTATTTATATATAAAATTTGGTCTAATATAAGTTAAAAGATCCAAGCTTTCGACGCCATATTCTTGTCCAATGCCTGATTTTATTCGATTATCTTAAGGTAATATATGCATTCCATTATTATATATATTTGTATAATTGTATGTAATATTATAATGTTACTTATATATGCAATTGTTCTAAAAAAAATTAGGCTCCAGGGAAAAACGAAAAAGATTTGCCTTCTGAAACAATGGTTAGTCTGGACTTCAAAATTTAAATACCTATAAAATATGACAAGTGATATTTTGTTTATTGTTTTATAAACATAGTGATAAAATTGGTATTTATTAATTGCAGAAAGAAGAAATAAAATCATGTGAAGAAAGAGTAAAGCAACTTCTTGTGATGACTCCACCTAAAGGAGAAAAGTTTCTTCAAAGCATTGAGCATATATTAGAACGGGAAAGGAATTGGGTATTTTCCATTTCTATCCTTCTTGAATGAATAATATAAATTGATTTTATATTTATTCTGCAAATGAATTTTTTATTTTGTGAAATATTTTTTAGGTCTGGTGGAAACGTGATGGTTGTGCTCCATTTGAAAAACAACCCACGGAAAAGAAAACTGTGAGAGATGGAGGAAAAAAACGGTATATATAATCATATATTTTAATGATTTAAAATATTTATAAAATTTAGTTTTGAATTTTTATATAAATTTCAGTCGTCCAAGATGGAGATTGGGAAATAAAGAACTCTCTCAGTTATGGAAATGGGCTGATCAAAATCCGGTGCGTGAAATATAAGTTTATTTATTTATTTTTATAACTTTTTACTTTTAACAGAATATTATTTTATTTATTTACCAATTCTACCCCTTGTGCAGAATGCTTTAACTGATTCTCAACGTGTACGAACGCCAGCTGTCACAGAATACTGGAAACCCTTAGCCGAAGATGTAAATTCCCAAATTATCCAATTTTTATTTTTTTTATATGTTTTGTTTAAGTAAATTAAATTTTGGAAATTTTTTTACATAATTCTTTTTAAACTATTTTTGGGACCAAAGTTGCAAGTGACTAAAGACGTTACAGGAACCTTGAATGATGACCAAAATTGCAAGGAAAAAACCTTTTAGGACCAAAATTGCAAAAATGAAGCTATAATAGGGACTGAAAATGTAACTTACTGTTGTTTCTTTTTTAAAATTTGCAGATGGATGTAGATGCTGGGATTGAAGCAGAATACCACCATAAAAACAACCGTGTTTACTGCTGGAAAGGTCTTAGATTTTCAGCAAGGCAGGATTTGGAGGGGTTTTCTCGAGTGAGTTTTTTTTTTTTTTTTTTTTTTTTTTTTTTTTAAATTAAAAAAAGTATATTATTATATAATTGTTTTTTTAATAATATGACCCATTTTTTGTTTTAGTTTACTGAATTTGGTGTGGAAGGGGTTGTGCCGATGGAACTTATGCCAGCTGACATCCGATCAAAATATCAAGCAAAACCAAGTGACAGATCAAAACGTGCTAAAAAAGAAGAAAACAAAACTCCTGCAAATCAATCAGAAGACAACAATCAGGTACTAAACATACACATTTTTCTTATTTTTTTGCTTAATTTTATTTTTTATAAATTCCATGTTTTTATTTTTGAAAGATTGCAACACCTGCAAGTGAGGGTGATGGTGAAGGGAATAATAATAATAATAGACAAGATCTTGAAGCATCAACAATGGCAATGGAGACCGATACAACAGCTCAAGAGCCTGGTCAAATTGATGAAACAGAGCCGGAACCGGAACCGGAACCGGAACCAGAACAGGAACCGGAACCGGAATCAGGGATGATAGATGCTGAAAATGATGCAGATGTTGATACAAATACAGTGGGTTGAAAAAAGAAAGGAAAAGACAAGAGTAGTAGCTTTCATCTTTTGTATGAAACCTGTGTGTAACTGTAATATTATGAGTAAAACTAACAGGAATTTATATTTGATTGTAGTTATTTTGAGTTTTAAGTAAGATTTGCCAAATTGTTGGTCGTTAAACTTCTTTTTCACATTGTTGAAATGAGAATATAATGCTAAATTTATATTTTTTTTACATATTATGATGTGTTGATCCATAACAAAAAGTAGACGACGAGTTATATATTAAAATTGATTAAATGCAAGAAATTAACAAAATCATCTAGCATATTCATCCATACAATACACCATAGTTGACATAGTTGCTAGAGATAACGTTAACCGATTTACGTCTCACTGTTATTTATTTATTTATTTTTTGTGATAAAATACATTTTGCTTATATAAAAATCTACATAATTAAAGTTAATCATTTTTTCCTCATAAAATTAATTAAGATTGATGATACGTTGAAAGGTTTGCAACTGCTCCCTTTATCAAATACACCTCACCAAGATTCTAAAATTGATGTTAAATTCTCCTACTTCCGAGGCTCTGAGTCGTTATGGGGTCTCTTTCTATTTCTTGTTCATACAACATGAAAATTCCTTCAAAAGAGGAGATGTTTTCTCCTTGTTTCAAGCCATTATCCCTCCATCACTACACCGCGAGAGATGCAGATTGCAGAGGAGATAAACTGGGAAAACTTCAATTGGGGTCTTCTCGTTTCTCTCTCGTTGCCTCTTCGCCTATCAAAGTTCCTTGTAAAACCTGCAAAAAGGAGAAAATTGAATGCGGTTCTTTGGAAATTAACAAATTCAAGACAAGTCGTTACTGTCAAGCAATGTTCTGATGCGTCTCCTGTCCAAACAATTTTTTTATTTTGGTCGAAAAGTGAGAGAATCAAAGCGGGTAACACCCGGTTTTGATCATTCTTCTGCAGTGTAGGTGTTTGATGAATTGTCACAGAGATGAAGGGAGAAGATCACATAAGGACTTTGTTTGGGATTACGCTAACAGATAAACCAACATGGCAACAATTTCTTATTTGTTCTTCTGGATTTTTCTTTGGGTATCTTGTTAATGGCATCTGTGAGGTTCGTTTTCTCGATTTCATTCATATATCGCTCAGATTCACACATAATCATACCTATATTATTATTATTTTTTTTATCGCAGGAATACGTATATAACAGGCTTAAATTCAGCTATGGATGGTACTTTACATTCGTACAAGGCTTTGTATACTTAACACTCATAAGTTTACAAGGATTCACCACAAAGCAAATGGTGAATCCATGGAAAATGTACGTTAAGCTTTCTGCTGTTCTTATGGGTTCTCATGGATTAACAAAAGGATCCTTGGCTTATCTCAATTATCCTGCTCAACTAATGTTCAAATCAACCAAGGTATCTATCTCAAATGTTTTATACGTTTTTTGGATCCAAATTTGTTGTTTTAACATTTTTTAAACGAAATTGTTTATAGGTTTTACCTGTTATGATGATGGGAGCTTTCATTCCTGGTTTGAGAAGAAAGTATCCCCCACGTGAATATTTTTCTGCTGTTCTTCTTGTTGTTGGATTGATCCTCTTCACATTAGCTGATGCCAATAGTTCTCCAAATTTTAGTATTATTGGTGTTGTGATGGTTTCTGGAGCCTTAGTCATGGATTCCTTTTTGGGTAATTTGCAAGAAGCCATTTTTACCATTAATCGTGATACTACTCAGGTAATTATCGTCTTTGGTATGAAGGAATTGAACAAGGAATGGAATGTAATGACTAATTCCATTCCTTCTTCAGTTTCCATCACTTCACATTTACTGACACACATTTTCAGATGGAAATGCTATTCTGCTCAACAGTCGTTGGAACACCTTTCTTGATTCCACCAATGGTTTTAACAGGAGAATTATTCAGAGCATGGAATTCATGTTTTGAAGTAAGTCTTCAGCTTCTCATAAGTCATATCTTTCTATTTACATAAAAAAACACATCTTTTTTTAATAATTCTTTTATAATATTAAAAATGCAGCATCCTTATGTATACGGGGTTTTGGTTTTTGAAGCTGTGGCTACATTTGTAGGCCAAGTATCCGTTCTATCACTAATTGCCATTTTTGGAGCTGCAACCACTGCTTTGGTAAATAAACATTTTCTTGATTCCGTATTAAAAAAAATTGGATATTTTAAAGGTAAAAATGTATATATGGTTATTACAGGTAACAACTGCAAGAAAGGCAGTAACTTTATTGTTATCTTATATAATATTTACAAAGCCCATGTCAGAACAACATGCAATGGGGTTAATTTTAATAGCTGCGGGTATTATGATGAAAATGTTGCCTGATCATAAGATTCCTCAAAAGCTAAGATTACCGGATGCAATTGTAAAACAAGTAAAATCTTATCCTAGAGATGAAAAGAATGAAGAACAGGATGATGAAAAGAGGTCTTTGGTGTGAAATGGTTATTGAAATTGGTGATTTTTTGTTGTTGTGGTTGTTGTTGTTGTTGAGATTGAAAGAAGGTTTTGGTAGGGGTGTAATGTTAGATATATGATGGTTTTGTTTTTGTTGATTTGGATGTGTAGTTAGATTGATTTGAAGTTTAATTGGCGGGATGTATTGATATTTGGAAATGGATTTTCGAGATAATTAAGTCATTTTGTTATTTTATCTTATAAAATAATAACTTGATCAACCGTGTAATTTTATGATTCTTGAAACATGCAAAGGTTTCCACCAAATTAGTTTTTCCCATAAAACCTACAAAGCCTCTTGAATACAATAAAAATAACTTTTTTAGTTTGCATGTGGATGTAGTTTAGTCACAATCGAGTGAACAATGTTAAATCTTCTTGAGTTCTTTATTTAATCTTTAGTAGCATAATTGTCTATATCTTTGTCCTCAATTTTTGTAGAGGTTGCATCTTAATACCCACCAGTACTCGTTATAATAGATCAAGATGCGAGCATTACTAGCTCAAGAAGATTATGATGTTGCATAGGATGATTTTGGAAGAAAAATCACACCATTTGGACTAAGGAAGAGAAGAAGAAAGATTATAAAGCCCTACTCCGAATTCATTTCCATCTTCATAACTACATTTTGAAAGAAGTTCTAAAGAAGTAGACTCTAAACATATAAAAAAAGGTGAAATTCAACACTTTAGTTCACAACACGTTCGCCATTCAGGCTTTTGGGAGAGGGACATTTTATAACAAATACTCAGGAGGTGTTAGCTACTTGATGACCATCATTGGCTGCTATTCAATAAAAGTGTGATCTTATTATTATTATTATTATTATTTTAAATAAATCAGATGCATTCTCCGCCTTTAAAAAATAGAAGACTGTCATTGAAAGTCAAATCGAAAAGACAGTTAAGAAGTTGCGTACAAATAATGGTTTGGAGTTGTGTTTAGAAAAAAATTTGAATTATACTTCAAGACTGAAGACATTGTTGGTGATTTTGTATCACTAATATTATTTAAGTGTAATGAGATTAATTTGTTGATCAATGTACCTTGATAAATATTAAACAAGTTAGGGTGGTGCAGAGTGCATATTTGTTCAAGTTTGTCTTGGTTGAAAGTACACTGCTTTTAGAGGAGAAGTCCTTGAACTTACATGAGTCCGGGGGTAGCACCCCTTGGAGCGGGGTCAAAGGGGCAGCAGCCCCTGGTGGAGTCCAACAGGCATAATCCCTGGCTGGGGTCGAAGTTCTAAACCCGGTTTTAAGTTAGTTGCTTTGTTAAAAATGCATTAGAAATCCGAATTTTAGAAAATGAACCAGATTTTGTGATCCAAGTTCTAGACCCGGTTTTAAGTTTGGACAGGAAGTTACATTCTTGTAACTATCATATGACATTTTTAAGACTAGAAGGTATATTCCTATTATATGATCAATTTCGAAGTTAGATCTGGTACACACATAATCATAACATCTTCTTCATTCTTTCTTTTAGAACAATAAGTTTTATCCTATTAGAGATTTTCGAATGTACCCTCAAAATGCTTTAATCTGAAAGTTTTCACAACTTTCATTGATCCAGACATTCTATTACCCCGATTTTCTAATAGACATTTCCACAAACTATATCGTCCCTTACACTCATTAACACAATCATGTAGATATATGTTGTCTAATGCAAACCTATATTTTCAATTTTAGCTCGAGGCGGCTTCCACGACTTCTCACCTTATGAATCAATCAACTTTCCGTAGCCCTAAACAAAGACTAAAGTTGATGTATGGTCCTATTCTCCTACAAATTACTCGAAGTTAATGATATTTAGTTGCACAAATTATGCCCATTTTGATAAGGGGAAGCTAGCACCAAGAGCCATCAAATGTGTCATACAATATTAAAAAATAAAAATTTTAAAATCATTTGTAGCATCCTCATTTTTCAAATGGTTAAAATACATAGCATTAATGCATAGCTCATTGAACAATGGACCTACTGTGGGCTAATTAAGATGGGCCCATGTCCATGAGATGATAAATTTATATTTGGGCAGACACAACATGTGACCAGACCGCCATCATCTCGCAGATCCAACGGCTCTAATTGAAACTCAGTACCCCACCTGAATTTAACGGCTAAAAAATGTAGATTTCTATGTACCTACGTGTACATTATAATAAGTCTGCCGATTTGAAAAACGAAAATCGAAAACCCTAGAAAGACGAAATTTTGATCTACGGCGAAAAAAGGGGTATTTTTATCATCATAAGAACCCTAATTTGGCTTCGTTTGATTCAATCTCTGTTCTCGAAAAGGCAGCTATCAATCATACATGAAAGGAACCAAGCGTCTCGCCATATCAGAATCCAGTGCAGACACCAACAATTTGTTTGTGAGCAACACCCTAGCTCCCTTTTTGTGTTTCATTACTTTCTGTTCGTATCAGCTGATGCATTAATGGGTTATGTAAACTCAGTTGAAGCTTAGGTTTTCAATTTAATTGATTGATTTTGTAACTGTACCTGAATCCCGACTGATTTTCTTCTCGCAAATTGAGCTGCTATGTTGAAAGCAATATAGTCAATTTCTTACACTTTTAGCTGAATACTAAGCTGAATGGGGACTGTTTGCTTGTTCTTATTAGTATAGTTATGTGGTTTCAGAGTAAAAAAATTATGGTAGGATCTCAATTTGATTTTCAACGGGCAGAATCATCACAACAAAAATCAATAGCAGCTCCATCATTGGATATGCGTCGGGCTGAATCATCAAGACAACATGTGAGAGCTCTTAATAACCAATTTGCAAGGTCTGTGATCTTTCCTGTTTCAGTTGCAAGAAACTCTCACTGTTTCACCATTTCAATAATTTAAGCCGTTATCTACAGTTGGGTTAATACTCAGTTACAAAACCACCCTGATGAACTTTGGGAAGATGGAGTACGTGACTACATAACTCACTCCTCAAGCATTCTGGTAATGTTCCAAACTGATATCAAGTCTGCAATTTGTATATTTCATGCAAGAACTTTATTGATCTTCGTTGTATAGGAGAAATTTAGTGATGTTGTCAACTGGCTCAAATCAAATTCTACAAAGAAAGAAAATTTGTTAGAACAAGGATCACATTCCCCTCAAAAGAAACTTGCTACTGAAAGTAAAGACAATGAGAACTTATCAACTATGAATGGTCCAACTTCTGGAACAACCCCAATGTTTGCAACTTCAGGGTTCACAGCCTCATGGAACACTGGTCCTCTCTTCAACAATCAATCTTCTTTTTCATTTGGTAGGTGTTATATTATGTGGTATCTTATAATGTTCAACATTTCTAAGGTGTTTCATTTTCCTTCTCTCTCAGGTGGACAGAGCTCAATTTCTGTAAAGCCAGATGCTTCAAATGATGCAGATGGAGGTAATAAGATACAGAATATTATTTGCTCTATCTTTTGTAATAAACAGTATGTGATTTTATAATTTATGTTTTGAATTTAACAGAAGATGATGTTGAGCAGCCAAGCAGCCCATCTGTGAAAAAGACTGAAGAGACTGGTATCTTGGTTGTGCATGAAGTCAAATGTAAGCTTTATGTCAAGGTAATTTTCAAAAGGACAGATATTTATATTATTTTAGACCTTCTGTAGAATAATTACAAAAGGGTAAAAGGATATCTATTTGTTTCAGTCAACTGATTCAACAGATAAAGATGCATGGAAAGATAGAGGGACAGGTCAACTGTCTATCAAATGCAAAGAAGGTGTCACCAAAGGCACTAAAGAATCCAAACCTACAGTTCTCGTTAGAAATGATGTATGTTATTTATATTTTTTATTTTTACAAAAGTTTTAAAGAGTTTTGCTTCATTTTGTTATATTATTATTATTAATTGCAGGTGGGAAGATTGCTGCTTAATGCATTGTTATATCCAGGGATAAAAACAAGCTTGCAAAAGAATTCCATTGTCGCCATTTTTCATACAGTGGTATGTAATTATGTATGCCATTTTTCTTCCCTCATTTACCCTTAGGATGGCAAAGTTGTAATAATATAAGTAATTTTAATTTTATAGGATGATAGTGGGAATGATGATGATAGCAAAGTGGTTGCACGGACATTCTTGATAAGGACAAAGAGTCAGGAGGACAGGGACAAGCTTGCAGCTGTCATTCAAGAATATGCTCCTGCAGCTTGATCTTCATCTTCATCTGCCATTGATGATGTCATCTTCATCTTCATCTTCTCACCCAAACAAACTTGGCCCACCATGAATGGAAGACTAATTATGAACAAGGTATGGTATGCAGAATCGAGGTCAATTTATGTACAACTTGGGAAATTTATTCTTTGTGTCGTATAAAAGATGAGATACACAGTTGTAGTTCCTAACATTTTTCTAAATTTATCAAAGCTTTTTTTTTTTTTTTTTTAATCCACCATCTTAAGTAGCATGCAATCAATAATCGTCTTCACCTTGCATTTATTCTATTTGTCAATTTTGGTAGGTTTACTGGTAAATTTTTGTTTTTAGATATTTTTTTTCAAAAAAAAAACCTAAATATTTTCTATTTATTTTCCGAAAAAATTATAATATTTGACATTTTGTTATTGAATCTAATCCCTACTTTCATGTTTTTCTAGTTAGAAACATTTAAAAAAATTAGAAGTAAATTGATCTATAATAATGTGACTATGAGACTCGATTTTAGTTTTTGTTTGAATCAATGGTGTTTTTTACTCTTAATTCTCTTGTTCTTATTGTTCTTAATGCTTTTTAACATTTGAACTTGAAAGAAACATTTGATTTGTTCGAAAAAGAGAGACTATTGTATCCAACTATTATTATCAAAATGTGTATCAAAATCTATTTGTAGAATGGTCGGTGATTATATGAGGTGAAAAATAATGGTATAAGTTGGCTTGGTATGTTAGATTGTTTTAAGAATAAAAAAGAGAACTTCTAAACACCAATCTATGGTTGGAATCTAATATAAGCGTTCAAGTTTTTCCTTTAACAAAAATTGTCAAGCTATTTTTCTAATAAGAATTGAACACGACCTCTTTCTCTTTGTTTTGTATAAAAATCAAATATTTCCTTTAGATTTCAATGTATGTTACAATGAAAATGACAACATTACCCCTGCCCCATAAAAATAGGGTAAGGGGAGGTAGGATGGTTCAAAAGAAATTTTTTTTAATGAAAAAAGCTATCAAAATATCATAAACAAGAAAACCATGGGAACTATGCACCAAAAAGTAAAAGAATGGTTCAAAAGAAAAAGTTTGTCAAATGTGAATGTTTTTTTTGGATAAGAAAAAGTTGAAGGTTTATCTAAAGTAATTTTGTCTAAAACCGGAAAATTACCCGTAAACCGGCTAAAATAACCAAATTATAAAAAAACGGAAAAATACAAGGTCTTTTTTTAGAAAAATAAATAAATTTGAGGTTTTATCCGGAAAAAACTCAAATATATAGGTCTTTTATGATATTAAGTATTTGGGGATTGATTGATATTTCTCAAAGTCCTCCATAAGGAATGTATAACATCATGTCAATTTTGAAATCAAAAAATTACCTAAAAGGATAATATATTTTTATTTTGTATCTTTGTTGTTTTTTCTTATAAAATATGTCTTTGAACTTGTTGTTTTTATACACATTCAATCCTTATGACCGATTACTCTAGGTTAAGTTTTCAATTTATACATATTTAGTCATTAATGTATTTTTTTTAAAAGTAAGCCTTTGTTGTTTTTGTACACACTTATGACCATTTTTTCTTCATGTTTTTGCTTACGTGACATCCTACAATCATTAATGAGGAGTTTTCATATGTGGCTCATCTAGGCAATGGAATCATGTCTGATTAATAACATTATACTTTTGGTATTAGCAACTGTTATAATACAATACCAACTACATTTAATCCCAATACCAACTTCATTTAATAGCAATATAAACTACGTTACACCAGGTGAAGTAGAAAACGCATTAGCCATAATGATTCCAATACAAATATGAACTAAATTTCACTTCAATACAAAAGATTACAACTTATTTTAACTTTATCATTATTAATTTTTCTTCAACTCATTCACTTCTTTTTTGAGACATAAAACCTCCTCTTTAACAACTGCAAACTCATATTTAAAATTCGAGGTCAATTTGACATGTTCTTCATTTACCTATTGCCAAAATTTGCAATTTTATTTGGTTTTTTTCAGTAACAAAAAACAAATTCTAAGAAGGTAAGAAAGAAGGTCAATTTGAAAAAAAAACAAAAAACTCATTTACTGAAAAATGGTTAAAATCGACATACCAAAAAATTAAAGAAAACTCTAAACTTTTTTACAAGGAGTTCTTTTCTCAGGTAAGTGCAAGTTGAGTTAGGAGGAAGCAATCACAAATAATATTGTTGTCTGCTATGGAGATAGATGAATCGAAACCGAATACATTTTCTTTTTGAAGAAAATTAGAACATCAATATTATTTAACCAATTCATGAATTAGACTACTGATATAAGTGGGAGACGCGTCATAAGGATTGAGTGTGTAAAAAAAACAAGGACCTACTTTGCAAAAAAAAAAAATTAAAGTCTAAATATGTAAAATTAAGAACTTAACCTGAAGTAGTGGATCATAAGGACTGAATGTATACAAAACAAGTTCAATAACTTATTTTACAAGAAAAAATAAACAATAAGGACTAAACATATACAAAATGAGAACTATATTACATTTATAGGTAACTTTCCCTTTTAAAATCTCATAGACACGTGACATATGGAAAATCTTAAAAAAAATTGTATTTACACAAATAATAAACATTTAGTAAAATTCATGAATAGACAAGTAAAAGCATTTATAATTCCAACATTTATTCAATTCTTTATGTGAGTTTTGTCTAATGATTTTTTAGACGACTCGGTGTGGGTCGAGTGTCGTTTTGGTGACGTGGACAACCTTTAACGGCGTTACCATAGGGGAACACCGCCCCCTTCCCGTTATGTGGTCTTCAGTCGTGATGACAATGAACTGCAACATGAAGAATATCAAATCAAATTTCGATGTTGACTTCGATTTTGATCATATTAATCGGCATTTATCAATCGTTTGTTGTATGTAATTTTGACCATATTAGCAAGAATAAGGTTTGACGAAGATGATTTTTATGAGGGAGCGACGCAAGAACAAAGATAGGTTGGAGAAGACAATTAGAAGAGTAAATATATTTAGGTTAAAATGAGATTGAGTCTCTTACAATTGCTTGGTTTTTATATATATATGCTTGTACATTATTTTTTTAAAATTAGGCTACGATGATCTTTTCTATAGTTATATGTTAATAAAAATCATAAATGACTACTGTTTTAATTAATTTTGTTTTTATAAATATAAAAAATTAAATAAAAAAAAATGATGACATGAAGTGTTATAACTAGTTGCTAATTTTCTCAATTTAATGTTATAACACCATATTGACATGACATATACGGTGATAACTTTTAATACCCTTTAATTAGTTGCTTATACCCACTAGTCAGGTCTCATTAATAGTTTTTATGAGGGTAATAGTCGTTCACATGCCTATTAACTCTTTAATGATTTAAAAAAGGGGAAAATACTAATCTAGCCAAATATACTAATTATCTATGTAAAATTAGCTAAGAAAAAAACACATTACCCAAAACTAACCCACAAAATAGTAGATAAGTTAGGGTTGACTACGGTCAGACTACTGTTTTGTGGCCCGTCTACTGTTTTGTGGCCCATTGGCCCATAGTATATAATGTCTTATTTTTCAATTTAGGTTAATTTTTTCTCATTTTCTATTCCATTGTCTACTATTTTCTCTCAATAGAGCACCCGAAAAACAATGAGATACGTCCATTTTTAAACAAAATTTTCCCGTATTGTAGATTAGGAGTAGTTTTTGTATATGGGATAACTTTTTTTTTGAAAAAAACCGAATAAAAATTAAAACCGTAGGTTTCTTACGAAACCTAAGGTGTACAAGTCCACAATGCACAAAACTATAGCTTTTTAACCCAAAACCGTAGACTTCAATCTAAAACTGTAGTTTTTATTAAAAAAAAAAACGTAGATTTAACCCAAAACCGTAAGCTACGATTTGAGAAACCGTATTTTATAGAGAGAAAACCGTAGGTTATAAAAAAACCTACGGTTTTATATCTTCAAATGATTTGTTTTTTATTTTTTTATTTTTTTATACTAAACATGAAACATTAGACGAATTAGCGAAACCGTAGACGATTCTAAAACCTACGGTTTCGTGGGCTATTTTGGAACAATTCCTAATTTTTGGCTAAAAATGGTTAATTACTTTCTTAATTTTACTAGATTAGTATTTAGCCCTTTAAAAAAAATTACTTATACCCTTAGGGGGTGTTTGACTTATCTTTTGAGAGGCCAAAAGTCATTTTAAGAAAAAATAAAAGGCAAAAAATGTTTGGTAAAAACATTTTAAAAGCTGCTTTTGGATTTTGGATATAAGGAAAACTGACTTTTTGGAAAAGTCAGGAAAACCTCATTTTTTGCAACTTTTCCAAAAAGGACTTTTGACATCTCAAAAGATAAGCCAATCACCCCTAAATATATATATTCAAAGTACATTTATTTTAAATAGAAATTTACCTTTATCCTTGTGATACACAACTTGCCAACTTGGTCCTACCGAACTAAGTCTAAGGTTTTTTTACTTTTTTATTTTTAATAATGTTTGCATAAAAGGTGATAGCTTGATTGATTGATGAAGGTTTGAAAAGGCAGCGAACAAAGAAAACCGTATGAGCGCCACCTCCACCTCAATTCCATCCCTTTCCCAATCCCTCTCTTCTCTTCTATCTTCATATCGCAACATAATATGCAGGAATAGCAGATACAAATGCTATTCAATACCAGTCTTCTTTGTTAATTTCGAAATCATCAAAAAGAAAACCCATTCCATGCCAATCTTGTGATCAATTTCATGCAACCCACTCCGCACTCTCCAGATCCCTTGTTCTAAATACAAGAACATACATATATACGTACACAATTGCTTGTTTTTGTTGATGTTCATCTAAGATACCCAAAGGAAGGTTAGGCTTATTAGCACTATCTACGTGAATTTCAAGTTATTGCATGTCAATTTCCATTTCTCGGACTGGGTTACGATTTTTGCATAAAAGTTATGAAAAAATATTGTTTCTTTAATGTGGGTATTGCATTTTAAATAACTTTTGATGGAGTAGGAGGTGCAGGTTGTATTTCAATTTCTACCACAAGTGATCACTTTCTTTGTATGAATCAGCAAACGAATTAAAGATTTCTGCTGCTTTGGTTTGTACATTAACATGAGTAGGTTATCAATCTAATTTCTAAACCGTTGTATCTGTTCCTTTTTCTTAA